GATTCGGTCGCCCTACCTAGCAAAACCAAGTCATACCACGCGCCTCCTCGTCAAGCGGCCTGACCAGTGCAGGCCGTAGTTTGGCATCGCTTGGTATCTCTTGGAAGCGAGGGTGGTCAAAAGCGAGGTAGGTTTGTTTTCCCCCTAGCGACTGCAGGCGTCGCCCGGCCGTCCCGTGGCCGTGGGGGCCCACGCCAGGAATCGGGCCGGAGGAAAGGGGGGGATTGGGAAAGGGGGGGGGTTACGAAATCTGCTGCGTGCAGCCAGTTTCGGCTTCACCGAGGGGCCCCTCCCTCGATGCATGGCCGCATTGGGCGCCGGGAGGCGCCGGGAGAATCAGCTGCGTGAGCTGTGTCTCAAACCCCCCCTTTGCTATCCCCCCCTTTCGCCCGACCCGAAAGAGGATCCTGCTCGCCTCCAGGGTGCCCTGGGGCTCTTGGGTCTCGCCGGCCCTGCCGTGGGAGGCGTGGCGCTCCCACGCAGGAAAAACATGTGGACGTCCTGGGGCTCTCGGGGTTGGGCTTCTTGTGGCAGGTCTCCTGTGGACTGCAGTGCCGTTTTCAATACAGGCTCCGCGTGCGGATCATGTATTATAAAATGCAGGGATGCAGTACTGAAAACCACGAGGAGATGCTGCATACATTGATTCCTAAAGAATCATGCGCTAAACATCCTATCTTTTTATATATATATATATATATATATAAATGTCTTAAAAATTGCCCTGTCGCCTCCGCTGCACTTTGGCGGCTCGCTCCACCCGCTGCCCAGCTGCCCGCGGCGCGCCGCCCTCGGCGGCCCGAGGCCGCCTGCGCACCGCTCCCCCGCCGACCCTCTGCGCCCGGGCCCCCTGCAGGGCACCTTTTTACCGCTTGACGACGTATTCACTCCACGCTCCTCCTCCTCCTATTCCTCCTCCTCCTCCCCTCCTCCTCATCCTCCTCCTCCTCCTGGTCTTCTTCCTCCTCCTCCTCCTCCTCCTCCTCCTCCTCCTCCTCCTCCTTCTCTTCCTCCTCCTCCTCCTCCTGATCTTTTTCTTTTTCTTTGTTCGGGCCGGGCGAAAGGGGGGGATTGGGAAAGGGGGGGTTACGAAATTTGCTGCATGCAGCTGGTTTCGGCCTCACCGAGGGGCCCCTCCCTCGATGCATGGCCGCCTCCGGCGCCGGGAAAATCAGCTACGTGAGCTGATTCTCAACCCTACCCTTTGCTATCCCCCCCTTTCGCCCGACCCGATCTTTTCTTTGTGCACGCTCCCATCGCTGGCGGTCTTCATGTCGCCTCCTTGAATGTCCAATCCATATGCGCAAGGCCTCATTTTTGGGAGGAGCAGGTGCACGCGCCTCCTCGCGGCGGCTCCTCGGACAACACGTTCCACAGGGACTGGGGTCGGGAAGGGTTTTGGAGTGCAGGCAGTCGGAGTTGCTCATCCATGCCCCTCTGCCAGGGGGAAGACTCAGAGGTAGTCAAAACGTCGTCTGGAGACGATGTGTCTGCTATCTGTCGCTATGTTTGAGCACGGTCTTGCTATCGTTTCTGTTTCCTCCCCAGTCCGCCTGTGTCGGGTAGGCCTCGACTCTGGGACGAGCGGGAGGCCCAAACAGCAGTGGGCTTCCAGCGTATACGCAGCGCTGCCCCGACGAAGCTGTGAGCTGCATGGGACGCCTCGGCTCCTTGGTGCCGATGCGCCGTCTGGGCGCCAGGCTCGCTTGCTGGTCCGCCTGTGGGAGGGCGTGCCCCGACCAAATTACCACAGGCGTCAAGTCGGGCGTGCCCCATCGACAAGAGGAACATTCAAACATAGACAAAAAATTGTCCGGGGACGATTTGGGGGGACGCGCCCCGACCTGCCACAAGCGCGCCCAGGGCAGCGGCGCCTCCCCAAGCCTGGGAGGAGGGGCCGAGCGGGCTGCACGCGCGGGCGGCGCGCGCGAGGGCGCGGTGCGGGCGAGGGCGCGGGCCGCCCCCCGGGGAGCGGCGGAGGGGAGAGCCGGCCGCCCCCCGGTGGAGTCGAGCGCGCCGCGCCTATGGACGGCGCAGCGGTTGCAGATCGCAGGCGCGAGAGCACACATCAGAAGAGGACATGTGGGGTTAGAGCAGTGGGGTTACAGGGAACACTTGTGAACGAGCTTTTTCTGCAATTTGCATATGGCCCGTCGGGGTTGAAGCTTCCACCTTGACCGTCCTCGGCAGGATGAGTTTGCTTGCGCTCTTCCGCGCATGTCGGTTTCGTGCGTTCGGTTGCGCGTGTTTGCAGGGCCATCCGCGGTGGCGCCGTGGCAATGGCAATGAGCACTGTGTCACAGTGCTTATGTCGAATTCTTCGAGGGTTCTTTGTTTTCTTTTGGGGGGGCAAGATCCGCTCCTTCCTGATGCTTCTGTCGTGGGCCTCTTCCTGGCCACCAGGGGACTGGGAACAACCAGAAACGAGCACAGTTAGAAACGAGCACGATTAGAAATGAACGACGTGTATATATGCACATCGGTTGCGGCAGTCAGGACGACGACGACGATGGCGACGACGTCGAGCTACTCTGCCCCTCAAAGTCCCACCGCGCACCACACCCCGCTGGCACCGAGAAGCTCTGCACACCGATCTTCCTTGCCCCAGCGAATGCGCTGCCCCATGCAGCAGCAGGAGCCGCGAACGCCCACCAGCGCATCGCCCAATCGCCGTTAAGTTCGCACACATTTGCAACTGAATGGTCGCATGCACATCGATTGCAGCAGTCGGGATGGAAGTCCAAGGTGGGGATTTATGGTCGGGAACTCTTGGACAGCGTGTCGCCCCTTCCCGTTCTGGCCCACCGCGCTGCGGTACGACGCGCTATCCCGCTCGCGGTCCCGAGGCGTCCACGTGCCGGGTGGTTCCACGCTATCTGTTCGCAAGGCATAGCGTGTCGCCAGGGCTGCCATCGCGATGCGCTAAGCAACAGTTTCCGACCGTACCTACCACCACCGCCTGGGAGATCGAGTTTCGTGGAGATCGTCCGGCGGTGGATCTTGATATGCCCGGGCCCCCTGGGGCCAAGATATGTCTCATCCACCGCTCCTCGAAGTCCCACCCAGGCGGTGGATAAGAATTAAATCCCCGCCTCGCAAAAAGAACAGCCTGAACATCCACGTTCGAAGGTCCGCGCGGGCTTCTTGGATCCGCGGTGGCCCCCCCCCCTTTGGCGCCTCCCGCGCCGCCCCTCCTGCGCTCCGCGCGCCAGGGAGGGAGGTCCAGCGCAGGTCCAAGATGTCCGCGCGGACCTCCAAAACTCTATACATGGATACACATATGTATGCATTGCGTGTCCCTCTAAGGAAGCTGGCGTTACGCGCTCGAAAGAAAGAAGGGGAGGCGTCGGAGAAGCAGGAGACAGGGGGCGGTACGCAGGAGAAGGAGGAGAAGAGGGGGGGCGGCGAGGAACAGGAGCAACGTTCCACGAGGTAGGCAGGGAGGGAGGACGAGATGCCGAGGAGGGCAAGCAAGCGGAGGAGGAGGATGCGGATGAGGAGGGGGATGAGGAGAAAAAGGACGACAACGACGACGAGCGAGAGGAAGAGGGGAGAGCAGAAGGAGCAAGGATGAGGGCTGCACTGAAGGGAAGGGCTCCCGAAGGAAGGGGGGCCTGGAGCCCTTCTTCGCACCGCTCGGGCAGCCGGGGCCCTCCCTGGGCCCTGGAGGGCCGTCCAAACGCTACTCGGGGTGAGAGTCTAGTGATTGTTTTTGTATTCATGGTTTTGTGGATCCGCGCGGGCCCCCCCACCACCCCCCCTCCCCACCCCCCCATGGAGTAGATCTTGGCTGTCTTTGGCGCCCCTGTTTCGAGCGGGTGGGGTCTCCCCCAGAGGCCGCACGATTCCAAACAGTCGCTCGAAGCGGAGGTCCAGAGCCAGATCCCCCCCCCTCCTTTTTCCCAATGTCGAAACGCCGAATAAAAAAACGCTCACAAGCTGGTCCCGGGACCCGTTCCCCTCAGGACCCGCCCGCTCCTTTCATGCCAGCATCGATTGCACGTAAGAGCGGCCCTTGGCCAGAGTGACCTCGGGTGCGGGCCCAACGCGATGCAGTCGTAGTGGCTTCCACGCTTGTGGACGGTGCCCCCGAAAAGCCGCGCACCAAAGATCACTCTTACCCAGGGTCACGCTAGCGTGTAGCCAGCAGCAAGGGGGAGAGGGGGGCAGGGGGCCAGGAGAGGATGGAAGAAAACGCCAGGCACGCGTTCGAGCTGGGCATGCTGCGCACCACCGGCGTCGCTCCCAGCCTTGCCTGGATCCAGCGATCGTTGCCGACGGCAGCTGTGTTGGCCAGCTGGTGGTGTGGTTGTCGTCTGCTTCCACCGCTACTATAATAACGTGCTGCTAACTCAGAGGATGTCTGGTGGCCTACCGTGCTTTCCTGGGCGCTGCTGTAATTGAAGATCTGCTCGGAGGAGGGGAGCAGGGAGGGAGGGGGGAGCAGGGAGGGAGGGGAAAGAGGAGGGGAGCAGGGAGGTAGGGGAGGAGGGCGGGAGGGAGGGGGGAAGGGAGGGAGGTGAGAAGGGAGGGAGTGAGGAGGGGAGAGGGGAGGGAGGAGGGGAAAAGGGAGGGAGGGAAGTGGGAGGGCGGGAGGACAGAAAAAGGGAGAGGAGGAGGGGAGGAGGGGAGGAGGGGAGGAGGGGGAGGCGGAAAGGGTTGAGGATGAACACCAGGTCGCGGCACGACCGATCGCGTGATCGTTTTGCCCGCGTCGCCTCCACTTCTCTCCGAGACTGCTGTGCCGAAGATAGAGTAGCCAAGGCAACGCGACATTCAAACTGGCATGGGCCAACGGCCCGGGAGGATCGGACGCTCTGTGAGGCGCGTTGGCGCGGTCAGTTCCGCCAGCCCCTCATCATCGTTATTCATATTCCTCCTCTTCCTCCTCCTGATAACCCGCACTTCCAAAGCAGGCATGCCACCCGAAGGTTGGTCAGGTGTGCGCTTCCTCCTTCCCGCCTACAGGCAGTCATCTCTCTGCTTTGTCATCCTGGCCTCCCAGCTGCAATGAAGATGAGCTTCCCTTGCGGTGGCGTGCGCTCCTCCTCGTCGGCTGGTCGGTTGGCCGAGCGGCCCCCCTCTGGGGCCAAGCGGTTCCTCTGCCCTCGACGTGCCGAACACCTACCTCTACATGAAGACGCTCACGCTGGTAGAGGCGCCCAAAGCCGACTCCCGGACACAGGGGCGGGCGGGTGGATTATCATTTGGTTCGTGTCGTCCTCTTCAGTTTCGCCCTCTCTTGGAGCCTGGACGAATCAAAAGCGGACGAAGCGAAGCGGGCGAACCGAAGCGGACGAATCGCAGCGGGCGAAGCGAAGCGGACGAAACGAAGCAGACGAAATGGAAATTTAGACGAAATGAATCGGAATCGGGTTGGGTGGGCGGACCGAGGTGGGTCGAGGGGGGGTTGTGCGTCATCGTCGTCTTCCGACCGCCCCCCTCCTCGAAGAGGGAGGATAGCAAGGAGGATGATCCAGCAATGACGCTACGGTTGGTAGGTGCGTAAAACACTCTACTTGGAATGGGCCCAGCGCGCCGCATAACGACGGGCTTTCGGCCCACCCCGCCACCGTGTTAGGGTTGTGGATGAGAGGCCTCTTGGATGTTCGTTGGGATCTCGTGGGGGGCCTCCCTGGGGTCTCCTGGAGGCAGTTTTGAGGCCGCTGGGGGGCTGTTTGGGGGCCTCTCGGGGCGTCTTTGCTCTTGGGGGCCTCCTGGGGGCCTCTCGGGGCCGAGGGCTCGAAATGTCTGTTCGGGTCCCCCGTCTGGGCCCCCTCTTGGAGCCGTCTTGGCGGCCTCTTGGGCCATCTTCAAGGCTTCTTGGGCCGTCTTCGGGCCCTCTGAGGCGGTCTTGGGCCCTCTTGGAGGCTCTTGGGCCGTCTTGGGGCGATCCTGGGGGCCTCGGAAGCCGTCTTGGAGCGTCTAAAAGCCAAAAAGGCGATAACCCCCGAATCCTTCAAAAGGGGGATCAATGATTTGTGCCTTTGGGGGCCCTCTTGGAGGCCTCTCGGGGCCTCTTGGGGGCATCTTGGGCCGTTGGATTGCACGACGTCGACTGCACGCAAAGAATGTCGCGCCTACCTCGCGTTGTTTCGATCTCTCACAACATCGGTTGCACTATATACGTATATGTATAGATGTTGCACAACCTAGATTAAACTACATGGATTGCACAACATAGATGGCACTGCCTCACATATTGCACAACAGACACTGCACAACTTAGATTGCACCGCATGGACTGCACCACATACATCGCACCACGCTGACTGCCCCCCCCACACACACACACACACACACACACACACACACACACACACACACACACACACACACACACACACACACACACACGCACGCACACACACACACAGATTGCAGCACATAGGTTGCACGATGCTTGTTGTCGCGCCTGCGGCGTGCATTTTGATCGCACGTAACGTAGACTGCATTTCATCGGTTGCACAGTACATGTTGCACCACACATGTTGCACAACACAGATTGCACAACCTAGATTGCACCACACATAATGCACTACAGATCTTGTAGAGCATAGCACCACCTACATTGTATAACGGATGCTGCACAACATAGACACGTTTCTATTCACAACGAGAGGGGGTCTGGGTCCCCTACTCCGTGTGGTTTTCGGGCCTCTGACGGCCGTTCGGGGCGATTCGGTCACCCGGGAACGCTCTCGGCGAGGCGCAGCTCTTGGAAAGCCTCCCCGTGCGAGAGGAGCTTCAAGAGCCAACGAACTTGTGATTGAACATGTGAGACAGTGAGGGGCAGATGTCTGAGCGGCCCAAAGCAGCCGTCGTGATGTCTACGACGCGAGGAACTTGTACCCAGACATCCGACGGTGTGTGTTTTTCAATGCGCGCCCCCAGATGCCCCGACCCTTTCCTCGGAGGCAGTTCTCCGTCCCAGATCCACTTTAGACGGCCCCGGGGCCAGATAACGGGCTCCAGAGGCCGACACGGAGGTTTGGACGATTGTCCCCCCGTGGTCTGAGGACTGAGATGAAATATTCGGCGGCGAGCGAGGGGGGGAAGTGAGAAGGAGAAGGCCTTCTCAGAAGACGGCGGGGCTTCTTAGAAGCCCTCGCGCCATTCTGAGACTTTGTTTGTGTCTTCGGGGCAGTCTCAGACAACTTTTGGGAAGGCCGGGGGACTTCCGAGCCTCCTGAATAGGCCCGCCCCTTCTCACTTCCCCCCCTCGCCCGCCGCCGAGAACACACATCGTCGGAGGCCTGGGGCTGTCACGGCGAACACACCGTCGGAGGCCCGCCGTAGACGGGCGAACGGCGATGTAGCCAACGCCAATGTGGGTTCCGGTGTTGTGGGAACGCGTGGCTCGCGCTCTCCCACAACGCGCTGTGCCGTGCTCGCTCGATCCATTCGCAGATTGGAGCCCATGTCGCCAGGTTCGTGATTTCCTACACTTTGCTTCGCAACTTTCACCGTCGAGCAACATCGCCGGTAGCCCGGCCTTGGCCAGAGCTCCCCACGTCGCGACAAAGTCGGCGTCCAGGCGGTGTGTTGCACGGCTTGCGCCTCCTCATTGGGGTGGGCGGGGCTCCTCGGGCCGGACATGCGACGTCCTGATTTCTTCAGGACGGCGTCCCTGGAAGTCCCGACCCTTTCCCTGGAACCGATTTTTTTCGTCCTGGGTCGTTTTTTGACGGTCCCGGGGCCTGGCGAGGGCCCCCCAGGGCCGAACATGGCAAAAAATCCCCCGTCCTGATTTTTTTGTTCAACGACGCGCTCATGTCTGGGGGGGGGGCCACCTCGAGAAGCTCGTCCCGAGGAGCTCCTCTGTAGCACCCTCTCCGCTACTTGGGCCCTGGGCCTGGGCACGCCGCAGTGCGCCGAGGACCCCCGCGGGCGCCGCCGGCGCCACGGAGCCCGAGCCCGCGAGGGCCCCGCCGGCGGGGCCGGCCGCCTGCGTGATGAGCGCAGGCGCGCCCTGCGGGGGGGGGGGGCGGGGGCGTCCTCTCGGGCGCGGCGAGCACCCAGGCAGGAGGAGGAGTGAGGAGGACGAGGAGGAGGAGAGGAGGAGGAGGAGGAGGAGGAGGGAGAGGAGGGGGAGGGGAGGAGGAGGAAGGAGGAGGAGGAGGAGGAGGAGGAGGAGAGGAGGAGGAGGTGGAGGAGGAGGAGGAGCAGTATCGTCCAACCGATCGATCCCCATCCCCATTGAGCCATGGTATCTCGGCCCCAGGACGACGACGACGACGACGACGACGACGACGACGACGACGACGACGACGACGTCGACGTCGACGACGACGACGACGACGACGACGACGACGACGACGACGACGCAGACGCTCCCATCCCATCCCTCTCGCCTACTTCGCCCCCCCCATCCCTCGCCAATCTGAGGGCCCAGACGCGGCTCTGGGCAGAGCTGGCCCAGAGAAATCGGCACCAGCCGACCAGGCTATGCTATGCGTTTTCCAGGGCGTGTGCCCCTGCTGCGCTCAGCAGCGTCGGCAGGGCCTTTGCAGGAGCGAGGGCACGGGCTGCCGAGCCACTGCGCAGGGCCGCTTGGATTGTCCGTGGCAGGGCCAGCACCCAGCCCAAGGGGGAGGCCTCTGGGGTGAGGGCCCCTGAGCCACGGCAGGTCCCTCCTGCGCGGTCGAGGCGCAGGACCCCCGAGGTTTCCCTGTGATCCTGCTTATCCCCCCCCTGCCTCATTCAGGAGGGAAAAAAACACACAGACAAAATTAATCGTCGACTCCCAGGAAAATATGGGAAAATATGGGAAGTGGGGGGAAGACAGAAACCCAGAAAATATGGAAAAATATGGGGAATTATTTTATTTGTGTGTATTTATTTGTGTGTCCCAGTTCCCCTTCACTCATGGCGCTCACAATCATTTCTTCTTGCCACGAGCGCAACTGTGGGCACTTTGCCTGGCCCTTGCATGGAGCGCATCTCCGCGGTCGTCGAGCGGGACGTCGTCCCGCGAAGATCACAGGGTCCCCCCACCCCAGACTACAAGGGCCCCCCCCGTTTACAAGGGCCCCCCCGGACTACACGAATCCCCCCCCCCCGGACTACACTGATCCTCTCCTCATCTCATGGCGCCAAAATCGCCGAGCGGATCTCGCTCGGAAAACACTGGGATGGGCCCAGACTGTCCTGGAGAAGTGCGCTCCGGATTTCGAGGTGAAGTTCGTGCGGAGTTCTGTTGGCCGGGAGCGAAGACAAAAATCATCCCGCGCGAAATTCCATTCGTGTTCCTCTCGCCGTTTCGGGGTCTTGCATTGGCAGAAATCCACGCAGAAATCCGCTGCAGCACGTCTGCAAGGTCGGTGCAGTGACTCATCCCCCATCCCCTTCCCCTCGCCTCCTCTGCCTCCCCCCTCCTCCGCCTCCCAGAGGAAGCTGGAGCCTCCCATGTCGCCGGGCCGAACCAGATAATGGAGGAACCCGCGCACTCATCCGAATACCACAGCACACTTGTCCAGTAACCTCCCACACCACCATTAAATTCTCGGACGACACAGCCGTAGCCTTCGGCCGCATTATCGTTGGGCTGACGCGCCCACTGCATTCCGATCACCCCCGCGGGTATATTAGCAGCCTGACGCCCCCCCCTCCCCGCCCCCGCTCCCGACGTGTTGAGATAAGACACGGCGACGTGAGAAGCACGAGCGGAGCTGTCCAGCTCATGCTCTTGCTCGAATTGCTCGTGCCGGATCGACCTGTGACAGACGGGGGGGGGGGGGGGGCAGACTTCGCTTCAGAGCGACAAAATACGACAGGAGTTTCCTGCCAGGTTTTCGCCTCCGAGGGCTCAGCGGGCCCCAGGACCGTCAATAAAACAATTGTTCGATTGGCGGTCCTGGGGCCCAGAGTTAACTCTGGATGAAAAGCGGTCCCGGGGAAGGGGTTCAGACATTTCTTTGTGGGGTGCAATTCGAAGAAAACGCAAAGCCGGAGATCTGGGAGAAGGCGTGTCCGTGGACCCGAAACGGGGCAAGAACGCGGGTCGTAATTTGATATCTTGGCGGCGCCCAGGCGTGAGGGGATTTTTGTTGCCTGGTCTTCCGAGCCGCCTTCGAGCCAGGACGACGAGGAAGGTCCCTTACGGCAGGTTAGCGCGTCGTGTCGACCAGCGGCGACCCCGCCGCCGGCTTTCAGCGTTGAACGCCTCAGGCGACCTGGAACCGATCGACGTTGAACCAATCTGACGTTCCGGGAACGGCCGATCGCTTTCAGGTTGAGCGATCCCGGCGGTGTCAGAAGCCAGGCGCCCAAGTCGGCACGACACGAGCTTGCCGCACCTCCGAAGATTGCCGAAGCCCCTCCCGAAGCCATGGTAAACAAGCGCTGGTGCCTCCACGAGCGGTAGCAAACGAGGTGGCGGCGCGCGGCCCCCGAAGAAGACTCCAGCCAGTGCACCACAGAGTGGCGCACGTTTTTTGGTTTGCTGCTTCTTGTGGGGCGGAGCTTTTCTTGCTGTGCGGCGTGCAGGGTACAGGATGCGTTGCAGTGTAGCCATGATTTGCCACGCGCAGAAGGGGGGTAGGTGAAGGGGGGAAAAGGCTTCTTAGAAGGAGGCTGCGTCTCAGAAGGCGCGGGTCTCGTCTGTAGATGCAGGGCCCGCGCCTTCTGAGAAGCAGCCTCCTTCTAAGACGCCTTCCCCCCTCCCCCTACCCCCCCTTTGCGCGCCGCCGACATGGGGCGCAACCCGAGGCGTGCAGCCTCTGCAGTGTCACATGGGGTGGAGCAGCGGATGAGAACCGATCGTACGAGGTGCAGTGTACGAGGTGTATTTGACGTGGTGCAACCTATCGCAGGCCCAGAAGTTGTCACCAACACCAATATCGGCGGTGTTCCTCCACCGAGGGAAGAAGATCCCGATCTCGGTGATGGTGGTAATATTCTGGCTTCCAAGGTGGCCGAAATATTACCACCAACACCGAAATCTAGTGTCATCTTCCCCCTGTGGAGGCAGCCCCCTGTCTTGGTGTTGGTGCCCAATCCCAGGCCTCCAAACCTATGGGTTGCAACCCGCCTCGCGCAAGCGTCCCACCCTCCCACTCGCAACGTGTTTGGCAAAACACATTGGACCACGATTGCGGCTCCCGACTGGAGCTCAGAGCGCGTCTTTGCCGCCGCTCTGGCGCGCGCACCGAGGGGCGCAATTGATGCGGCCGTGATGGCGCTTACCAGTGGGGATTCCCCAGCGCGTCTCAAAGGTAGCGCTGGCACGCGGGCACTTCAGGGCGGATCGGTGACCTGCGCGGGCGAGATATCGTGATGACGTCGGCAACGGCGGCAACGATGATGATCACAGCGATGGTGGTGGCGATGGTGACGATGGCGACGCCAGTCTGAGGGGCCAGTGGCCAGGCCTGGTGGGCAATGTTCTCCCCCCTGGAGGCCGCAGAAGCGTCCAGGGTGTGTACTGGCGTGGCAGCAGAGCCTCTTGACCCTAAAGAGAGGAGGCTGCTGCATGGCTCGGCACCCGGGGGGCCTAGCGCCAGAGCCCGTGGCACGAGGCGTTTTCAGGCGGCCGCGTGCTATGTTGTCCGTTGGCGTCGTGCTCCCGGCAAGGTGGTGCGATGAGGTGCGCCGCGGGGACGGCATACAGTCAATCCGCATAGTAAGGATGGGCAACCTTTCCAAGGCTACCCTCGCATCCTTGTCCCTTCGGCCCATCGTTGGTAACTTTCGCTGGCCAACCCCGTTCGCAAAAAAACACACTAACGTGGCCCTCCAAGGCCCTCGCACCCTTACCGCGCATCCTTCCTATACGGGTTGACTGCACACTAGAGCCCATTATTTCGAACCCTTCTCCTCCGCCTCAGGCTCTTCTCGGCGCCGAGCAGGTGCGGGCCCTCGCCGAGGCCCCTCGTCGCTGCGCCCTGCCGAGAGCAGCCTGGGGGGAAGGCCGTCCCTCGGGATCCCCCCGTCCGTCCGACGCTTCGGCGGCCCCCCGTCGCGAGGCCTACAGCCAAGCCGCACGGCAAGGATGTCGGAAACTGGAACATATACACTACCAGTGGCGGGTTTTGTTTCAATCCCAGGGCTTTCCTTGAAGGTCGGGGGCGACGTCGGGGTGGTGTGGTGTATACTTCTCCCCCTTTTCCCAGGGAGATGACGGAAAATGTAAACACCAGGATCCCGTGTACACCAGGATCCGCGTTCGTGTGCGAATTTCAGCGCCGGGTCGGAAAAAGCGTCGGTGTATGAGCTCGTTTCCCTAGGATGGGCAAGCTTCCCCAGGGCACCCGTGCATCCTTGCCTCCTCGGCCCACCCTTGGCCACTTTCGTTGGCCGAGCCCTGCTTGAAAAGCGTCGGAGTAGGCGTCCAAGGCCATTGCACCCTTGTCGCGCATCCTTATTATAAGGGCCGACTACATGGGGTTGCGCCGGGGCGGGCCTTTTCGACGTTCGCCTTGGGCCCACACGGCGGTAAAGTGCACGGACGGACCCCCAGTGGCGTTCCCTGTTTGGGGGGTCTCGTCTTTGCCGGTGGCGGCCCCCCCGCAGGACCTAAGCATAATCTCGAGCCTTGTAAGTAGGTTTAGTGTGCGCCCGATCCGCCCTTCTTCCTTAATTGGGGCCCCTGGCTGCATCGCTTTATTTCCCAGTGGTACGCCATCAGATCATCGGCGCTGCTCTGCTCTGCTCTGCTCCGCTCCGCTCCGCTCCGCTCCGCTCCGCTCCGCTCCGCTCCGCTCTGCTCCTCCTCCTCCTCCTCCTCCTCCTCCTCCTCCTCCTCCTCCTCCTTCTCCTCCTTCCTCCAGAAAAAGAGCAGGACACCCGAGGCGAGGCCCATGCATCCTGGATCCCCAGCGCCACGAGTTGTTCACAGCGTCGACCCCCAGGGGCCTCGACCCCATTCCCCAGGACCAGATGTTCGTCCTGAGTCGTTGCTTGTCGCGGTCCTCTTGGCTTGGCGAAGGCACCCGGAGGCCGAAAGCAGCAGCAGCAACAGCCAGCGGAAATGTCCGTCGTCAGTTATGAGCGACGCGAGGGTGTCTGGGTCCCTCCTCGTCCCCCTCCTCCTCCTCCTCCCCCTCCTCCTCCTCCTCCCTCCTCCTCCTCCTCCTCCTCCTCCTCCTCCCTCCTCCTCCTCCTCCTCCTCCCTCCTCTCCTCCTCCTCCTCCTCCCTCCTCCTCCTCCTCCTCCTCCTCCTCCTCCTCCTCCTGCCCCTCCTGGTGGGCAACGGAAGTGTCGGCGCGACGAAAGATCGCAATTCATAGACAATACCACTGGGGGGCACCAAACCTTGGTTGGATTAGCGATATTTATCTTACTCATTGTTTTGCCGATCGGCGCGGGCCCTCGCACTCCCCCCCCTTCCCCCCCGTGGAGTAGATCTTGGGCGCTTCCGGCGCCTGTCTCAGGCAGCTGGAGGCTCCCCCATTGGACGCGCTATTGCAAACAGTCGCATTCAGCAGAGGCCTGGAGCCGGTTCCCCCCCCCCCCCCCCCCCCCCCCCCCCTTGTTTATGCCCCATATCGAAGAGCCGTGTCAGATTCAGGTTTGGTTGATGCCTCTGATCAGCTCCTGTGGGACCGTTTGGCACACGCATTCCTCCCTCACAGACTGGACACAGACTGGCCCACCCGCGCTGCCCCAAAGGGGCCCGCTGGCCTCGGATCCGCGCTGGACCCCCCTCCCTAGGGTGCGGAGCCCGCCAGGGGCGGCGCCCCGGGCGCCGCCAGGGGGCTCCAGCGCCGATCCGAGAAATCCGCGCGGACCTCCGAGTTTTTCTGTTTATGTCATTGTTCGTTCCCCAGCTCCGCTCCCTCGAGGAGGAGGAGGAGGTGCAGGAGGAGGAGGAGGAGGAGGAGGGAGAGAGGAGGAGGAGGAGGAGAGAGGAGGAGGGGAGGAGGAGGAGGAGGAGGAGGAGGAGGCGGAGGAGGAGGAGGAGGAGGCAGGCAGGCCCCCGTCTCGCCTGTCCAGGTGAGCTGCCGTCGGTCGACGGCGTCGCGCACGCCTTCAAGAGGCAGCGCCGCCGCGGCGGGGCGCGGCCGGGTCTCGGCCAGGGCTTCCTTCCCCTTTTTGCCTCCTCTCTTTCTCGTCCATTCTTCTCCTCCTCATCCTCCTCATCCTCCTCTTCCTCCTCCTCCTCCTTCCTCCTTCCTCCTCCTCCTCTCCTCCTTCTCCTCCTCCTCCTCCTCCTCCTCCTCCTCCTCCTCCTTCTCTTCTTCCTCCTCCTCCTCCTCCTCCTTCTTCCTTCCTCTCTTTCCTCGTCCATCCTTCTCCTCCTCACCCTCCTCATCCTCCTCTTCCTCCTCCTCCTCCTCCTCCTTCTCATCCTCCTCCTCCTCCTCCTCCTCCGGCTGTGGTTGGTTAGCGGCGTGGTCCACAACGCCGCTAACCAACCGCAGCCGCTTTACGTCAGCGGGGACAAGAGCCCCAAAGACGTCCGACGCGAGGTGCAGTCCAAGAAGCTGCACGCCCTCCTCGAACACGATCGCCCTGACCTCCAATGGAAGGTCAAGCGGGCAACCGGCACCATCAGCGTTGACGCAGTCCCCGTCTGCGAGCTCAGCTTGGACGCGAGAGGAGAACCCGAAGAGGCCTCGTCCTCTTCGGGTTCTCCTCTCGCGTCCAAGCTGAAGAGCTTGGGCAGCGGGTCCTTGACAGGAGAAAGCGCGAGGAGATTGAACTCTCTGATGACGGTTCATTTGTTTGTTTTTGGGGCCTCTTCTGATGCATGTTGAATGTGGTGGCACCTCCAGCCGGTGCGGGCCTCCTTCACATCACATCTTCCTCCATCCCTCTCTCTCCCTCAGTGATCACTGCCAGAGTGCTTCCCCTGACGGCATCGCCGTCGCCGAAACGCCAAAACCTGCGACCCACGGCTTCCGGAGTCGGGGTCGTGTCTCCTTGGCGCCCGGTCAAGTCTCTTGGCTGTTCGCTCGGCGGCTGTGCGGTCGGTCCTGGGCCTCTTCGCTTCTTGTTCCCGCCCACGCCCCCGGAGCTCCGGGACTCCCCTCTACAGGAGGAATGTTCAAAGATAGTCCCAGAATATTTGGAGGACGATTTGTCGAGTACCTTTTTGACTATGTTTAAAGATGTTTTGCCAATGTTTTATTTTTCCTTCGAAAATCCGCCTGCACGAGGACATGCCCGACCTAACACGAGTCGTTGTTGACAGCCCCGGGGGCCCGGCAAGGGCCGCCGGAGGCTGCTGGCCAAAGAATCCTCCCGTCGTGACTTTCGCCAGCCTTCGGGTGGTATGGAGGTTCGGGGGAGGGGGTGAAGGGGAACCAACGTACCATTCAATCGATCTCACATCGATCAACCTCTCAATCCCACAACATATCTCACCATCGATGCCACAAGAGATCCCACGGTCGATCCCTCAAGAGATCTCACGATCGATCTCTCACCGGATCCCACTATCGACTTTACAATCGAACTCGCTATCGATCTCACAAGCGATCTCACGATCGATCTCACAACATATTCCACGATCGATCTCTCATCTATATCACCTCGACCTAGCAATCGAACTCACTATCGTTCTCTCATCCGGACCCACTTGCGATCTCACAGCTTTTCTCACGATCGGTCTCACTATCCATCTCACAATCGATCTCTCCATCGATCTCACGATCGATCTCGCACTCGATCGCACAATCGAACTCACATCGACCTGAGCATCGATCTCGATATCACTGTCGATCCCATCGTAGATCCCGCGAGCGATCGCACCATCGATCTCGCAGCGCCACCGACGGGACACCCCCGGCCACAGCGCGCCGACAGGTTGTGGCGGACAACCAGCTCCACAGCCCCCAGCCTTAAGTCGGGCCTGTCCCCCTACAGGGGGGTTTTCGACGACAAAAAAAATACTTCAAAATCGTCAAACAATAATCCAAAAATAGTCGGGGGACTATCTTTTGATTATTGTTTGACCTTTTTGGGGCATCTTTGGGTTTTTTTCATTTTTCGTCGAAAATCCCCCTGTAGGGGGACAGGCTCGACTTAACCCTAGCCACGGCGGCATTATTCCGTTCTCGCATCCACGCAGTTTCGCCTCGCCCGCACGCGCGACACGAGCACGAAACCGAAACCGATTTCCCGGTGGGGGGCTCTCCGTCCCACTGCGATCGCACTCCCACCACCTCTGATGATTGGTATAGCCTCACCTCGGTGCCGATCTTACACTGGGGACCCATGCCAAAAAAACACCCTGCTTGCCTCCAGGGTGCCCTGGTTTTCTTGGGGTTCGCTGTTTTTGCAATGGAATGCGTGAAGTTCCCACACCAAAAATCTATGGACGTCCTGGGGTCTCAGGGTTGGATTTCTTGTGGAAGGTTACTTGGGGACTGGCCTCCGCAGTCACTTTCTGAGGGCAAATCCCTGAGATTGTCATCGCCTTGGGCTTGCCGTTCGAGGCTGGTCATCCTTGTTCCACGGCGCCGGCCAGGTCGCCTGTGTTCGTCCAGCGTGTGGACGGCGGTGCTCAGACGTTTCCGGCGGAGCGCTGCGTCAGGCTATCGGGGGCCTCAAGAGTGGAAGGGGGAGGCGGAGGGAGGTTCGAGGTTCGAGGTTTTCGTGCGTCTTCGTCGATTTCCAAGTCTCGGGACGCTCTCCAGCAGCTGCGCCTCGCCGACAGCGTTCGTGGGCTGCCCGGATCGTCCCGAACGGCTGCTGGAGGCCCGAGTTATGGCTAGAAAAACACCAGGTGATAGTTTCAGGAGGCGGTGAGCGAGAAAGCGAGCGACAATATGTTCGGAGGGGTTGCTTTCGTGCCGCTGTCTGGATAAGCAGGGTTGCGCACGGAGATTGCGCATGAGTCTGATTGCGATGACGCATGGGTCCAGTTCCGAATCCGAATCCTCATTCGAACCCTGATCCCAGCTGATTATCGTCATGCTTGCGTCTTTGCCCGCTTGCTTGTACGGCTCGGTGCTTGCTTACGCGATTGCTCACTGTCTTGCTTGCGCGACTGCTCGGTTGCTTGGTTTCGCACCTGCGAGCGTGCTTGCGTGCGCGCATGTTTGCCGAATTGCCTGACTGTGAAGTCGCTGACGCAGTCGGCTGCGTGCTCGTGCGCACGCTTCCCTGCATGCTTGCTTGCACGACCGCGTGCGCACCTGCCTGCTGCGTGCCCCGCTGCCTCTGGAGGAAGGAGGGGCGAGCGACATATGGCCGCCCCCAGGCGGACTACCTACCTCTCGGGGCCCCCGATGCCTCCCCGAGACGGGGACAGGGAACATCTCGAGCCGGACGGGGGGGACCACACCACCAGGAAGCCACACTCCCTGGCGCCTCCTGCTGCTGATGGTGTTGTCGCACTTCCCTCCTCCTCCTCCTCCTCCTCCTCCTCCTCCTCCCTCCCTCCTCCTCCTCCTCCTCCTCCTCCTCCTCCTCCTCCTCCTCCTCCTCTCCTCCTCCTCCTCCTCCCCCGCCCTCCTCCCCCGCCCTCCTCCCCGCCCTTCTCCCCCGCCCTCCTCTCCTCTCCTCCTCCGCCTCCTCCTCCTCCTCCTCCTCCTCCTCCTCCTCCACAACATGCCTGCCCGCCCTGCGCGACTGCCGCTGCCGCGGGCCCGCCTGCTCGCTTGCGCGCCCGCTCGCAAGCGAGCCGGCTGCCCTCTCGCTGCCGTGTCCTCACCACCCCCCGATCCCTTGGCATCGCTCGGACGTGTGCATTTTTCCTTCGGCGAGGACCATCGAGGAGCATATTTGATCATGTGGCGAAAAAACCACTCACGAAACCGAAAACAACACAGGAAATGGACGTCCGAGCGATGGCCAGATCCTCCTCGATCCTCCGCCTCCCCCTCCCCGATCCTCATCGATCCTTTCCCTCCTCCCACCCCCCCCTCCTCGAAGCCCTCCCCCCGATCGTCGATCCTCGGAGCTGCCCTGACATCGTGGCCGCGTGAGAGCGAATCTCCTCGACGCCGGCGGTGGTCTCGGAGGGAGGAGGAGGAGGAGGAGGAGGAGGAGGAGGAGGAGGAGGAGGAGGAGGAGAGAGGAGGAGGAGGAGGAGGAGGATGAGGAGGAGGAGGAGGAGGGGCGCGCACAGGCGGGGGGAACGTGAGAACTTCTTTGTTGTTGGGGGGGGGGGGGGCGCTCCGCGGCCGTGGCCCAGACTCTGGCAGAGGTCGACGCGTTCCCCGAAGCACGGGCCCCGACGTACCGTACCGAGTGCAATCGGGCCGCGGTGTAAGATCGAGGTTGGTTCGGGAAGGTGCCCTAGTGTTCTTCGTGCTTGTTGGATGTCCTGGTGCACCCTGGAGAGGGTGCCCTTGGATGTGCTGTGTTCAGGCTGGCGGAGGGCCCCATGTCATCGAGGGGTGTTCGTGTGGCCCAGGTCCGACTGCACCGAGTAGCCCAGGTCTCCTGCGATGAGATGTTTGTCAGCCAGCGTTTGTCCCTCGATTTCGGCCTCTGTGTCCTGTCATCGGGCCCCGGTGCCATGCGGAACGGATCTGGGGCGACAGACTACCCTGGGGGCCAGCGGTCGGGGCTTCTGGGGCCGCGGACTCCGGAGATCAGGTCGGCGGCTTTCAGGGAGTGCAGGACGGTGGTTGAGAGATGCCCGGGGAAGGAAAGGAAACCGTCACGCGCAGAAGCGCCCTGAGGGAGGTGATCGATAAGTTGGGCTGCGGGCTTGCTCGTGGGAGTCGCCGTCGTCATCGAGGTTACCTGGTCGCAATCTCCAAAATTCTCCTCCGGCGGAATGAACTGCTGCTGTTTCAGTCGTCCCCCCAGCCCCACGTTTTGTTCGTAGCCGTAATCCTATTTAGCCGTGGGCAGCGGCGGTCGACATTCTCGCTTGCTCCCAGGCGCAGTAGATGCAGGCCGCTCGTTGGAAGCAGGCATCTCCGGTCTCCCAGACCCGAGTCCAATCTAAGGGCCTTGTTACACGTGACACATCAAATAAAAAATAGGCCTGTCTGCAGGGTCCCCTGGGGAATTCATTATTTCCCGATGGCACTTGATCAACTCAGGAATCTCAGCGACCGACATCGAGTGCACCCTTTTATTTCTTTGGCAAGATGCCTTATCAGATGCGCCTGCTATACTTCAACCGTCGTACGGGGGTCCTTTTTCCTTCTCTTGTGAGGGGCGGACTGAAACTCAATCCAACTTGGCCGCCTTCACACTTTGTGCGTCTACGCACTTCTTCCGAATGGCCTGCAGTATTTCCACCGCTCCTACTCCTGTGATTGCAGGCAGCTTGCTTCACTCAAGCTATCGCGTAGAGAACTGGTGCCATAGCGCGCATGGGGCAGAAAAGGCTGCCGCCAGGAGACCAGGGAGCTTTCTGCCACCGGGTCGTGCTCAAATAACCTCATGCGGCTGCACACTCGTCGAGGGTGAAGAGAGAGAGAGAGAGAGAGTCGGAGACAGAGGAGAGAGAGAGAGAGAAGCACAAACAACTTAGATTCATGCGTATGTACAGTATGTAAATATACATGTAAACATACATCTGTATGTGTATGACTGTGTATGCGAGTGCCTGTGTGTATGTGTATGTGTATGTGTATGCGTATGTGTATGTGTATGTGTATGTGTATGTGTATGTGTATGTGTATGTGTTTGTGTGCGTACATTACTATGTATATGCCTGTATAGGGCCGGGGACCCAGGACAGGGCCCACCACACCCAACACCCGAAGGAACGTCGGCCTCCCAGGCCTGGTGGGACGCCATTCCTCGGGCTGCTCCGACACCTCTGCGAAGTGTCGCTGCGGTCTTCCCGTCTTTTCGGAAGGTCCACAGAAGCCTCCAAGATTGCCCGAGACAGCGCGTCGACAGCCGAAAAGCGTACCGCAACGCCCAGCACGGCCTCCAGGCGGCCCAAGAGACGTCCAAAGCGCATCAAGAGAGGTCCACGAGGGCCCCCACCAGAGCCCAAACAGCAGGCAATCGTGCATTTCACATTGGCTGTGAAAGGGTTTGGTCGTTCTCGCATTTCCACGCTTCCACTCTCCAAGACAGCGCAAGAAACCCCCAAGACCGCCCCAAGAGGAGCACAGAACTACCCAAGAGGGCCTCAAGGCATCCCAAGAAGCCCCTGAGAGAGGCCCACAACGACCCAAGAAGGCCTCACGACGGCCCAAAAGACTGCAATGACGGCCCCAAACGCTGTCAAAACCAAGAGGCGACCAAAACGCACCAAGAAAGTTCCACGAGGGCTCCGAAGAGAGGCCAAACAGCCCAAAATCGTACATATCCGGTCAGTTTTTAAAGGACTTCGCCGTTCTCGCACTTCCACGCTTCCACGCTCCAAAACGGCTCGAAAACCCAAAGACCGCCCCAAGAGGAGCCCAAAACGACCCCATAGGGTTTCGAACGGCCCAAGAAGCCTCCAATATCACCCCAAGAGGGACCCACAAACGACCCAAGACGGTTTACGACTGCCCAAAAATGAGCGCCATGACGCCCAAGACAGTCCCAAGAAGGCCCCCATGAGGTCCAAGCAAGGGAACACGAACTCACGTTTCGAACTCGCATGTTTCCGTGTACATATGTCTATGCATACGTGTAATTTACGCACACGCGCCCTGCGTGCGAAATCCGAAGGACCAAAGTGCATGGTGCGAAGCGCCAGTGCAGTCTTGCGTCTACACACATATAATGTATACAGATGTACACACAGAAAGACATGCACACCGCAGACATACGTTATGTATAACAGGGAACTGGGTCCAGGGGCCCCCGGGCCGGCCCCCCGACCGTGAATGTGTGCATCGGGCTGCCCAGGGGCCTGCTGGCGCGCCGGAGGCCTTCCTGTGGGATGTCGTGCGTACCCCTCCGTGGACTGATGTGACGCCGGGTTCGCCTTGGCTAGAGCATAAAAGCGCGCGAAGCGCCTGTTGTTCTGGTGCGTCTATATTCAGGAGCGACAAAAGGACGTACACGTACATGAATCCACGCTGGTTTCGAGAGTACGCATAGCGCAAATGTTCGTATAACGCGGCAGGTCTCGCGGATCGAGGGGCCGTGTTCATGTACATAGCTGGGCGCGTACGTCCTTTGTGGGCTCCCTATATATCTGGGGCGTTCCAACGACGGCCTTGCGTTCGAGGATCGAAGGAGTTGTCATCTCTTCCGCGGCGGAGGATCGGCGGAAGGCCGGCGGAAGCAGAGCGAGGCCGCCTCCGCCGGCGGAGGCCAGCGGACGGGCGGCGGAGGTAAGGAATGCGCCCCCCAGGAGGTGAAAGCGCTGTTGGGTGAAGGGTTTCGGGAGTCGCTCATGGAGGAGGAGGAGGAGGAGGAGGAGGAGGAGGAGGAGGAGGAGGAGGAGGAGGAGGAGGAGGAATGGAGGAGGAATGGAGGAGGAATGGAGGAATGGAGGAATGGAGGAGCGGCCGCGGAACCAGCTGCCCAGGTGCCGCCGCGGCGCCGCGTGCCGCTCCGCGCAGGTGGAGTGCCCCGCCCAGGCGCCCCGCCGCCTCGCCGCCGCAGCCCGGGCGCCCGTCTCCCGGCAGGCCGGCCGCAGCGGGCTCCTGGCCTTACTCGGGGGCGGCCAAGAGGGGGGTGATGACTTGCTTCCCCCGCTTTCGCTTCCAGGCAAAACCAAGCCATACCACGCGCCTCCTCGTCAAGCGGCCTGACCAGTGCAGGCCGCAATCTGGCATCGTTTGGTATCTCTTGGAAGCGAGGGTGGTCAAAAGCGAGGTAGGTTTGTTTCCCCCGAGACTAAGGGGGGGTGTCTTGGGGAGACCGCGGTGAGCACAGGAGCCGCCAAAACCAGAATAACGAGGCCAGGCAACGTTGCACATTGTTTCGATGCTGCCCAACCCCCAAAAAAAAACATACACAGTGCTTCTTGGCACCGAGTGCGCCAAAGACTGGGATCTCAGAGCGGGATTGTTGGGGAGGCCGCGGCAGGCACATGAGCTCCCAAAGCAAAAACCAAACAAACAAAATCAACACAACAAACCATGCACAGTTTTCGCTGCTCCCCAGGCGAACAAACTGAAACGAATAAAAACAAACATGCACCGCGTTTCGTGCCACCCAGGGCCCGCTCCTTCAGTAAGGAGCCCTTAGTAACTCCCTTGTCTTTGTTAAGGGCTCTGTTATCAAGGACTCCTTCGCCAGGATGCCTTCGGTATGGTATAATTAGTGAAGCTTCCTCGGCTAAGGGCTACTGGGTATGGTCGCCTTTTTAGTAAGGAGTGTTTAGTAAGGATGCGAAAAAATCCTTCGTGCATGTCGCTTGGAAAAGGAATACGTAAGACTGGTTCCCGTCGTAAGCCGATCGCCAGCCAGGATCACAGGTTAAGTGTGCAACACCAAAGCAGATGAGCGAAGCGATTGTGCAGATTCGTGAAGCGACCGATTATGCGGCTTCGCGTTCTGATCGTGTGGGGGGGGGTCGTTGGGTGTGGGACTGGGTACACATACATAGAGAGAGAGACAGCAAATCAACATGTATATACATATATACATCTAGATTGATAGAGATCTATAAATATGCATATTTGTTTATATATAGATACATCAACGGGGAGGGCGAGACAGGAGAGATAGAGAGCGATAGAGAGAGAGGCACATATCAGGAGAGCGATATGTGTACATACATGTTCAGGTATGTGAGTAGAGAAACAGGGAGAGACAGAGACGCTGTTGAACCGATAGTGTATACGTAACGCGCCAACGAATACATCAACGAGCATGAAGACCTTAGGAAGGAAGCAAGACTCACATTGTCGGCAGTTGCACGAAGCGCCAAGGTATTTGGGTCACCACTCTCGGTTTTGAGAGCGCCGTGTGAACTCGGTGCCATCGGTCACAAGCACCCATCTACTCGCGCACGGAGCGTCTCCTTGCGCTTCTGTGCGGTCGCGTCATCTCTAGTGAGTCCGCAGGGATCCGCGGCGTACATCTGACTTCTTGCAGCCTCCGTCCACCGATCTGGTCATGCGGGTGGGCTGGTGGATACCCCAGCTCGAAGGCAAAATGGGCCTGGCGGCAAGCAGGTGTTGTGTGCATGTTTTGCGGTGCGGATAGTGTGCGGATCCGTACGCTGATTTGCTGTGCGCACATTGAGTCATCAGGTCTCGTCTCTGGTGACAGCTGCGTTAGAGGAAGAGTTGCACGGAGCATCGTCAGAGGCGCAGCCATGCCCAGCACGACCAAGTTTTACCTACGGTTGCCCACCTCTGCAAGCGTTCTGTGGCTCAGTTTATGAGCTGTCCTAGCGATGCGATTGCCTAGAAGTCAACCAGGACTACTTGTGCACAGGAGTGTATAGGTATAGGTGCATACATGTATGTGTAATATATATATATATATATATACATACACATATATATGTATACACACCCTCACACCCTGTAGCACGGCATAGGTTGCTGGAGGCGGCGGACTCTTCTTTACTAGTGGAAGTTGGTGGTAAACGCTGTCGCCTTCCATCCCCACAAAAGCCGGCACAAATGTCCATCCTTTCCCTCCCTTCCTCGTCTCCCTCCTTTTCTGCCTTCCCGGTATCCCTCCCTCCTATTCCCCTCATGTTTCTCGAAGTTGGCCATGTGAAGACGTTGCAGCCGCATCCATACACAGAAAGTGATCTGGACCGATCCCAGCATGGAGAAACGACAAAACCCGAATCATGATGGCGACGCGGCTCTGGTACTCTTTCCCCGTCCCCTCTCCCACCCTCCTGTGTCTCGACGACGACGAGACGGAAGTGTTAAATCGCGAAGCCCTCGCACACCGTTCGCGGCCCATGTTTGCAAGATATGCGTGATATCGAGGTCCCACTGTTCATGCATTCCTGCCTTGTTGCAGTGCTGTCCCTAGTGTCGCAATCTTGGGCACAGTGGCCACGAATACCAAGACCGCGACAGGAATGATACCAACATGATGACAGTCCCTGGCTGACAATCGAGTTGCCAAAAGATTGCTGACATTGCGTGGATTCCATGTGTGATGACACATGTCCAGCGGCCATCAAACAACGCTTGCAGCCGGGACTGCCTGTGGTCGAGAAGTTGTGGCTAGAGTCCGACAGGATTTGCTTTTCTTTCTGGCGCCCATCATGTCCTCATTCGCGGTGAGGAGAGAGGAGTGGAGGGCGGCAGCGTAGCAGGATGAGCTGGAAGAGGCGTCGGAGAAGGATGGAGAGGAAAATGGAAGCATGCCCCTGCGCAGGGAGAGTCCGGTCACGGCGTCGGTCGGGACTGCGCAATCGATGAGGGTGAAACTGGAGCGCCATGTCGCCGCCGTCGTCGATAGAGGATTGGGCACCGTTGGGGGGCACCGTGGTTGGGGGGACAGCGCAGGATGCGTCCTCCTCCCCGCGCGCGCACAGAGAGTCCGTGCCCCTTCGCAGTGCGCACCGGCGCGCATTGCGAGGGCGTTTGGCTGCTTCTGCCGCGTATTCGGCCGCCTCTTCGCGCGCGCGCTCCGTTCTCAGAGCCGCCCCGCCCCTCCTCAGGCGCTGCGGCTGTTTTTTTGTTGACGCAGGCTAGAGTCGGGCATGTCCCTCTACATGAGGAACGTTCAAAAATGCTCCAGAAATAGCCTGGGGAGAATCTTTCTCATATGTTTTTGACGACTTGAACATCTCTTGGGGGACTCGTTTGGAACGCCTGCAGCAGGACATGCCCGACCTAAGCGCAGGCCCTCAGGTGTTCGACCCCTTCCCCAGGTAGGGGACCACATGTGAACCCTACCCCTACCTGCAACGATTTCTGAGTGGGAGGGTGGGGTTCACTTTGTTCGGGAGCTCCCGAGCGAAGTGAACCCCACCCTCCCCCCCAGAAACCGTGGGGGGTAGGGGTCGGGCTCGCTCGTGGCCCCCTACCAGGGCCAGCGGAGTCGTCGTGATGGCCGCCCAGGGGGGGGGGGGGCGCGGAGGACCACACGGGCGGCGCCCAGAGCTGCGCCCCGCAGCAAGAAACCGGAGGCAGCAGAGGCACCCCGCGGCGGCCCCGGGGCCCCTCGGCCGCCCCTCGGCCGCCCGCCTCCCAGCGGCGCCGGGCCGTGGCCCGCTCGTCGGGGGCAGCCCGCGTGGGCACCGGCTGCGCCGCACTTTTACCAGCCTCGAACATGTCCCTATCCCTGAGATTGGCACGCCACGAGGCGATGCCAATCGTAGGGATGTGCGCCCTCAGAAAGCAGGGGAGTCCCTGAGGTTGGCATCGTGAGGAGGCGGTGCCCAGCATAGGGATGGGGGGTATGTTCCAGGCTGGTACCGCACGCGCGTCTCGCTCGGGCGGGCGGCAAGGGGCGGGTGACCCGAGAGCGGGGGGCGGAGGGAGGGGCCCGAAGAGGGGCCCCTCAGGGGGCCCCTCTTCAGATCCAGCGGGTGCCCCCCAGGGGCCCCACGGGGCCCCCTTCTGGGCCCTGCTCTCCCCCCCGCCCCATGCGAGTCCCCCCCCCCCCGCTGCCGCCCTTCTTGCCCGCGACAGACCTCCCAACAAGCTCCAGGAGCATGCAGGGTGCTCGCGATGTCCTCCTCGCGCGGGGAGATGGGCCCGCGTGCTCTGGGCTGACTAAAATACGTGCCTCGAGCGCCGTCGAGGAGGGATGTCCCCCCAGCCCGACGCGAGAGCTCCCGGCGCCCAGGCCCTCGAAAAACGCGGCCAGGGAAGCCGCGGGGCCTATTGGGAGCTGTCCTCTGGGCAGACTCCCTCGCGGCCGTCGCCGTGCCCCCGCCCTCACGCCGTGCCATCCGTGGCGGGCGGGCGCCGTCGTCCTGGCGGGGGCGCCGCGCGCTCCGCCCGCCGCCCGGCGAGCGCGGCGCAGCCCAGGGGCGCCCGAGGGGCTTGCCGCGCGAAGGCCACCAGTGCCCCCCCGATGCCCTCCTCCTCCTCCTCCTCCTCCTCCTCCTCCTCCTCCTCCTCCTCCTCCTCTCCTCCTCCTCCTCCTCCTCTCCTCCTCCTCCTCCTCCTCCTCCTCCCTCCTCCCTCCCTCCTCCTCCCTCCTCCTCCTCCTCCTCCTCCTCCTCCTCCTCCTCCTCCTCCTCCTCCTCCTCCTCCTCCTCCTCCTCTGTCAGGGGGAGGGGAAGCGACACCACCACCGCCACCACCACCACCACCACCACCACCACCACCACCACCACCACCACCACCACCACCACCACCAGGGCGGGGCGCCACCTCTCGGACGGGGGCCAGGGCGTGGGTCACTTCGCCCCAGAGCGTTCTCCTGGAACGCTGTCGGCGCCCGAGGCATCCTCCAGAGCCGCCGGATCTCAGAGATTCCAGATTTACGTTCACCCGATGTTATCCACGTTCTGGCTTCGTCTTAGCCTCCAGCGAGGATGTACACGATGCCTCTCGAGCTGAGGACGCTGGGGATAGGGGACGTTTCGAACGAGAAGGGGGGGCACACCACCAGGTGCACGACCCCTGGCTCCTCCCGCTGGTGGTCCCTGGTGGTGGTGGAGGTGTCGATTTTCTTTGTTCCTACCCTTGAGGCCCAAGCGACGATCTTGAAGTGCCCCTTCTGGGAGCGAAGAGGGCCGAGGAGGAGGAAGAGGAGGCTTGAGGGATGCAGGACGGGCGAGGGGGGGGCCAAGCGGAATTCTTGACGTGAGCTCCGGAAGCGAAGCGGGATGATGAGAGGGAGGAGGAGGCCTGACAGTTGCAGGAATGGCGACGAGGGGGCCCAAGCGAAAATCGTCAAGTGAATTGAGGAGGAGGAGGAGGAGGAGGAGGAGGAGGGGAGGAGGAGGAGGAGGAGGAGGATGTGGCTTGAGGGATGCAAGGAGGGCGAGTAGGATCGTCGGGGGCAGGAGCGATCGAAGGAAGGGCGCCTCCTGGGCGAGTGTTCCCTTCGGCGCTCAGCTGCGGCTCGCGCGCGTGGGTGCTCGCGGAAGGGAGTGCACCCCCAGAAATCCGCGGTCTTCCAATACGTTCTCACAACCTGGATCCTCAGAGGTCTTGGACCACTTGCGCGGCGCCGGCTGAGTACCCCGAGCCGCTCCTCGAATGGTCCGAGGGCCCAATCAGGGCCCCTGGGGGCCGAAAGTGAGGAAGAGCAGGTGACGCTGTTATTTCTGCCGCGCCAGGAGGAGGAGGAGGAGGAGGAGGAGGAGGAGGAGGAGGAGGAGGAGGAGGAGGTCTGGACCCCTGGATGATCGGAGCGAGACAGCACAGAGGGCAGCGGCAAAGAGCTTGCTCGCGTCAGCTGCTCCGGTCCGCCGAGCCTCGTCGGCGGGGTGTCGGACGTGGTCTGCCCGGGGCCGTCGCACTGGCACCCGGATAGTCTCAACCTCACGCGCTTCGTCCCGAAGCTGCGACGGGACCACCCAGAGGCTCGCGGTGGGGCCCGGGGGGTTGGCAGGGGCTTCGGCTGCGCGCAGGGGTGAGCCTTCGCCGGGGTGGCCTCCCGGTGCGGGCCCAGCACGGGCCCTCCCCGGCACGGGCCTGCGCGCTGGGATTTGGGCCCCCCCCCGGCCTTCGGAGGCCGCACGCCAGAGGTCACTTCCTTGCCCGGGGTCCTTCCTGCGTGCAGCCGAGAGGGGAGGGAGGGCTGAAGGAGGAGGCGGGGACGGGGAAGTTGGGGGATGGGAGCCGCGGAGGGGGGGGGAGAGCTTGGGAGTGACAGAGGGGGCAGAGGTTGGGGAGAAGATTCGGAGGAAAGAGTTGGGGAAGGAGCCGCGGAGGAGGAAGGGTGAAGAGAGGGATAAGGACCTGAGGCGCACACACAGCTGACTGATGGTGCAGTGTACCCTCCCGTCCCGCGTACCCTCATAAATTAGTCAATTCAGATAGTTCTGCTCGCTAGGGCGAGTCCATTTATGAGCATCACCATCATCAGCGTCAACAGGTCCATCTTCATCATCAGCATCATCACCACCATCATGAGCACCATCACCATACACGTCAGCATCATTATCAACATCAGCATCATCAACATTATGATCATCATCAGCAGCAGCCTCATCATCGCCATCGTCGGCACCATCATCAGACTCATCATAAATTTCATCACCATCATCATTACCATCATCATACTAAGAAGTTGCATCATCATCAGTATCGTCGTCGTCGTTATCGTCGTCATCAGTGCCACCACCATCATTCGCCCGCCCGGGTCATGGACTTGCATGAGAAGTTCTTCGCGCCAGTACGCCACATGAGTTTTGTCAACAAATTGCGGATGAGTGGGTGGGATATGCGCTCGAGCATCGGAGTTGGCGACGTGCACCGGAGGTGGTGACGCGCGATGCAGGCTGGTGATCTCAGTCTTGCACTGAAGAGACAGAGAGGCGACACACCCAGCGATGCCCGGGTAACCCCTTCGCGTCGGCGCAGTTTCTTCTAGAGCGTTCGTGCCGAGTATGAAACGTTAACTACGGTGGGGGCGTTGGTTAAGGAATCCCAGTAGGCGCCAGACCCTGGAGGATTCCTTGTCTGATGAGGGCGGCGGTGATATCCATGGCCAAGCTTCGATTGGAGTTCCACCGGCCTCCAGACCCATCATTCCTGCCGCAGGTTGGAAGCCGAGGAGGCCATCGACACGCTCGTCGGCGACGCGGAGGTCGGCGCGCGCATCCGCTGCCTGCTGCCGGCTCTGGCGGCTTTGGTGGCTGGACGGGCGCCGACCTGGTTGCAGAAGCTGCGCCGCAACGTCGCGCTGCACGCCGCGGCGCCGGGTGCGCGGATCCTGGTGGCCAAGGCTGCCGAGCTCCGCGCTGCTCAGCAGGGGCCGAGGCTGGAGCGCGCCGCAGTGGCGACAGGAGCTTCCGACGGCGTGGAGGACGTGGGCACGGTCGAGAGCGGCTGGGCGGAGGCGCTGGCTACCCGTGGGGCTTCTGGGGCTCTCGAGACCCAGGATCCGCGGGCGGGAGGCGGCTTGCCCTTTCATGCTCGGGTGTTCCACGTGGCCGAGTTGGAGCCGAGGCTCCTGGCGCAGGCCGATGCCCTGGCGGCAGAGCGCGCTCCGCGGCCAGGGCTGGGAGGTCAGGGAGGCACTGATCTGCAAGACCTCCCCGACGCCCAAGGGCATCTGCACGGAGCCACCCCAGAGGGCCTAGTACCTGGGGGCTTGGGAACGTTTCCCATCTGTTCTGACAAGGAGGCTATTCCCGCGGGCCCAGGGCTGGCGCCTGGGATGTGGCACACCTCCGAGCCGTTGGCGGAGGCGGAGGCCTTCGTCCAGGGGCTGGCGGCGGGCTGGCGGCTGGCCGAAGGAGCCTCTGAGTCGTTCGGCCCCGAGCGGCTGGAGGCGGCAGAGCAGGACGACGAGGTGGCGGACCCTGCGCATCACAGCGTTGAGGGCGTCTCCACCTGCGTTTCCGAAGAGTTCGTCACCGCCAGCGGCCTCGCCGACAGCTTCGGCGCGGAGGCCATGGGCGCGGCGGACCCTGAGGAGGGGCAGGACGTCGCGGCGCACTTCAGCAAGCAGGCGGCGGCGGCGCACGGACCCAGCGTCGATCTCGCGGAGCTCTTCGCCAGCTTCGAAGAGATGCTAGGGGTCGGCGTATCCGTGAGCTCCGCCAGCCAGGCTGACGTGCAGTTGATTCGGCACCCCAGCAAACTGTCGGGCACCGCATGTGAGACCGTGCAGCTCTTCGACCCGATCGAGGAGCCCGAGTCTGGCGAAGCGGAGCCCGAAGGCAAGCAGGCAGAGGCTGTGCACGGCGCAGCGGTGCCCAAGGTGCGGGATCTGGAGTGCGCCCGCCTCGAGAGGGCGCTGGAGGCCCAGGTCCTGCTGTTCGAATCGCTCGAGTCGGAGCGTGCCTCGCCGCGACGGCTGGACCCGCAGCGAGAAGCTGCGAGAGCGGCGCTCGCGGCCCTGGAGCACGCCAGGCGACAGGGCGACTCGTGAAGGTGGTCGTGGGCATCGTGCGGCCGCTAGACGTGCCTTGCCCTCTCGCCCTCCTTCCCCCGCGTTGAATTGAATGCATGACCACGCGCCTGCTCGCGGGTGCTCGAAGAGGTTATATATAAATATATATATATATATATATAAAAAAAGCACAGTGCACTCGAGGCTAGCATCGTCTTCCCCCCGCTCGCTTGCACTGGTCATCCCCGCCCCTCCTCCTCCTCCTCCTCCTCCTCCTCCTCCTCCTCCTCCTCCTCCTCCTCCTCTTCCTCATCCTTCTCCTCGTCCACCTCACCCTCAGCATCATCAGCATCATCCCTCATCTTGCTCCTCCCTCCCTCCTCCTCCTCCCCTCCTCCTCCTCCTCCTCCTCCTCCTCCCCCTCAATCCTCCTCCCCGTCCTCCTCCTCCTCCTCCCCCTCCTCCTCCTCCTCCTCCTCCTCCCCCTCCTCCGTATACTCCTTGTCAAATCATACAGTCGCGGCACGCGCGCCCGTGATCCTGCGTGCCACAAGACCACCGAGCGGGCCCCACGCGCGCACCCAATGTACGTAAAAGAACTGGTGGCAGCACGCGCGGGGGGGGCCCAGTCGGAGAGTGCCGGCTGCTCGATTTACCGCCCACAGGCTGTCGGATTCCTGCGCGCGTGCTCGCCGTCATCGGGGGCGAGCGTGGGGCGGGGAAGGGAGGAGGAGAAGGCCCCCTCGGGAGGCTCGGAAGTCCGCAAGCCTTTTCCGAGAAGCGTCTTCTGAGTCTGCCCCGGAGACAGACAGAACAACAACTTCTCGGAAGGCGCGAGGGCTTCTGAGAGAAGCCCCGCCGCCTACTGAGAAGGCCTTCTCCTTCTCACCTCCCCCCCTCTCGCCGCCGAGATGAGCAAGGGGGCGAGAAGGGGAGGAGGAGGAGGAGGAGGAGGAGGAGGAGGACCCACCGAACCCGCGTGCTCCCGCTCGTAAAAAAGGGACAGTGCGGGCCGGACGCGCGCGCGCATGTCGAAGGCACTCAAGTAGCTCGTGTTCGCTTTCCACCAGGGCTGGACCTCAACGCTGTTTTTTGCTGGACTTCGGCTGTGCTTTGTTTTTCGTTTTTGGCAGGGAGGTACAGGAAAACAGGTAGAGCAAATCGGCACACTATACGAAAACAGAACGAAAAAGAACGTTTAGGTCCAGCCCTGCTCTGTCAGATAATGCCATGCAGGCCGCACTCGCCAGACTCTTTCCAACTTGATCGGCCCTCTGCGCCCCTCAGCGCAGACGCGTTCAGCAACGGGCCCAGCGGTTTTTCGATAAGGATTATGTCCCGGATTTCTGAATGTCCACGCGCACGCGTTTCCCCGTCGCCCCCATCAGCGCCATAGTCATCATCATCGCCAGCGTCATCATTGCCACCGTCATCATCACCACCATCATCTGCATCAGCAGCACCACTGTCCTTGTCATCGCCCTCACCGCTAACATTCCGTCGCCGTCATTGTCGTCGCCGTCGTCACCAATATCATGAGCATCATCATTATCAGCACCCGCCCGCCCGAGCCATGATTATGCATCATATGAACCCGCGCGTCACTATGCCAGCGGACTGTTGCCCATATGTTGCGGTTAAGTGGGTAGGACTTGTTTTCGAGCAGTGGCATTGTCGACGGGCATTGGAGCTTCCAACGTCAAGCTCTTCAGAACTAGTTGCGCCACGTGCAACACAAGTACTGGACGGTATGGATTGCGCCACAGAAGTGTCGCAGCATTGCTTCCATGTGGATTGCGCCCCGCAAAGTCTACTTCACATTTCGCACCGCGTAAACTGCATGCCATGCATTGCACCACGTCGGGCGCACAGCGCCAGTACGAGAAGCCACTGCGGCCCACGCTGGCGAACACTTTTGTTCTAAGCACCTGGGCATGGCTGCGGAGAGTTTGTCTCGTCGCCACGTTGGGCACCACTGGTCCCCGTGGCTTCTGAGATGTAGGCTCGTCGTGCCGGCGCTCGCGCATGGTGCCATAAAGGCTCCTTGTTGGTGGATGCCGAGATTTTTGCTCGCCGCCGCTCCAGAGTCAGAGTGCCTCTCGAATAACTCTTACGTTATACATCGCATGTGTGTCACCAGGCATAGATCCCACCGCAAAGGTTGCACCAGACACAGTGTGTCACATAGGTTTACCCATCGAGGTTGCGCACCGCCCCTATACATATCGCACCACAGAGATTGCATCACAGAGTGGGCGCCGCCCATACGGCAGTACCTATGACGCACTACCACACCAGCTTCACCATGTGTAACGTGCAACATGCAGTAATGCAACACACCTATTGCATCACTCATACGCCACAACCTATGGCCCCACCCACACGCATCCGTATACTAGATTTGTACGTATATATACATATTTCTATATATATATGGTCATGTGTATATATATATATATATATATATATATATATATTAAAAATGTGCGTGTGTGTGAACAGAGGCTGGGACGGGTCCCTG